TGCGGGTCTAAAGGGCGGCTCGTGGCTCAAGGCCTGACAGCGCGTTTGCTTCTTGGCAGCAGCGTCGCCTTTGGGTGCCTTCTGAGCCCGGGTAACTGGGGTGGGTGCCAGTAATGAAGTTTTTTTTTTTTCTATTACATATTTCTTATTAAAAAAAAAAAACTACTTCATTTTAACAGATTCTAGCTAAAATTATGCTCCTCCTTTGGAAGGTGGAAGAATGAAAAATTTGAGCATCAAGTAATAGAGTAGATATGCATTTGGTAATTATAATAAGTAGAGCTAAATTTCAGGGCTGCTGTTAACAGCAGATCCTCTTTTTTGACCTGTGCGAACATTGGAGCAGTAAGTGTTGGTGGTAGGAGGAGCGCAGCCAAACGCTCGTGCTAGTTGGAGGGACGTAGCATCCCGTTAGGTAAAACTGCTTGGTGGATCTGCTCAGAAAAGTGTTTCACCTTCTGTTTAGCAGTGGATATCTTGTATTGTTTCAGAAACTGCTACCATGGATGGAGACACAGAGTACAACAAAGGTAATGACAGCACATGTATAATATTATTATCGTTTAAGTGTCAAGTGCGAGAATAACAAATCTCTGTCTTTCCTCCCACTTCCCCCAAGTTGAAGATGTCGTTGGCTGCCATGTGGAAGATGCTGTAACGTTTTGGGCCCAGGTGAATTCTGAAAGCTAACAGTTTTGTGTTAAACAGCGGGCGGTTTGTGTGGGGAGAAGAAGGAGAGGGATTTAAAATAAAAATAAGTTATTTTTATGAATGTGGGAGGTGAGCAGGGAGAGGAGGTAAGGGGAGGAGCCAGGATGAGTCCACACTCTTACCTTCTCTGATCAGTCTACTGGCTATAGGTGTGGCTGTATTAGGCAGCACCTGTGTAGGTTTGAACTGGTCACTGGAGGTGCTACCTCTTGCCCAGTTGCTAAAAGGATGGACCAAATGGACCAAGCTTAGCTTTTCTGGTTCTGTTCATAGAAAATTTTCCCCCCATTCTGGCCTCCTTCCCAAAAAAGAACAGGAAAATAAAGGAAAAAAAACCCACAGTGGTTAGTTACATCTACTGCTCATAATGTCTCCTCCTGCAGGTTCTTCTCTTGAGACTCTGCAGGAAAAGTTAATGTTTTACACTCCTAACTTTTGTACCTTACATTATTAAGTATTTCTGAGAAGAACAAATTTTTTGGTTACGGTGGTGTTTTCTTTCCTGCTCTAAGGTCTGGATGTTTTGCTTTGAATTACAAGCAGA